TGATACCGAAATAATAAAATAAAAACAATAAAAACTTCATTCATACGTAAATAAAACCAAAATTTCCATAAAAAATGCGTTATTCGTACTATCGAACAGAAAAATTTTGACTTTATTCGTACTATAGAGTAGACAATGCAACAATTTTGCCATTCGTATTATTGGATATTCGTAATAAAGAGTATACGTACTATTGGACGTCCACTGTATTATAATATTTCCTTCAGCCTTTGAGCCCCGCATACTCTGTCTGAATTTAAGAAGGAAAATGGGGACCCGTTTGTAAATATAACTGGTTTTTATTCTATTCTATATCTATTTCAATATTCTACCTAAAATATTACAAAATTTGTGAAAAAAAATCGAATTTATTTAAGTAAACTCCGTCCCATGTCACTACTGGATTCATATGCGGTACGATAATATAGTACATTAAAGACTTAAAAAAGCATGGAAGTCAAACAATTAAGGTTGTGGTCAATATTTTTGGCAGAGACTGAAAATAACGGGTCCACTTTGTTCTTATAAGGTTAATTGGTGTGATCACCATTTATAATTGTGTTTTTGCAATTTATCACTGAAAGAAACCTTTATGTTAGATTTTTTTTGATAAGTGGTTGAGAGAAACCGAAAAGAAAAACAAAATAACTCGCTACAATTGATTTTTATTTTGTAAACATTTTCAACAGGTCTGCTTATGATTTTTATTTTTAAAAGCAAAACAATAAATCGCAAATGTAAATACTAGGGTGATCGATTATTCGACATTTTCCAAAAACCGGTTTTCGAATAGTTCGAATAGTTGACATTTAAAAAAAACCGGTTGATATTTTTCAAATTCAGAAAAAACCGGTTAACCGGTTTTTCATTATAAATAAAAAAAAAATATTTTAATTTGAAAAACTTAATGTTTATGTTTAAATTTGATTAATAAAACATGGCCAGAAATGATTTTTAACAGTTTAAAAGATTATAACTATAGATCTAGTCGTCTGATTTACATTATTTCATTAATATAAAAAAATTAGGAAAAAAGTGGGACACTTCTGTTAAACATAAGGTACTATGTAATATTTCAAAAGCCCTGTTTAGGACAACACTTCCATAAAATTTCAGCCGTAAATTAATTATTGTAAATTGAATATAATCTTAAGATTGATAAAATTTTATCAAACAGTTATCAATTTTACAAATAAATTTTTTTAATTAATTAGGAAAATCAAAAAAGTTTAACCAAAGGAGCTTTAGAAAAATATACGCTAGTTCCTCGACTCAAATAATTTTAAAATTTAGCTGTATTATTATTTACTTAAAAATTTCATTTAAATAATCTTTGAATACAAAGCAAATAAAAGTATTCGAAACCGGTTTTTAAAAAGTGAAAAAACCGGGTTATTCGATATTCGAAAAATCAACATTAAGAAAAAACCGACACTGGTAAAGCAGAAAAAACCGGTTTTAAAACCGGTTGAAAAATCGAGTCGATCACCCTAGTAAATACACGATTAGGACACACATACTCGTTTCAGAAATCATAGCAAACAACAACAATATACTCTCCCACTCTCATATAAGCAAGAGAAAAAATGAATACAAAAACCAAGTGCTCAGCCAAAAACATAAGTAACAAAACAAAAGTAGTAAAGGTTATACTAAACCATTTAAGTAAAAATTATTTTATAATTGTTATTCTGAGTGAATTATTTTAAAAAACAAAAATAAATCACAATTCAATCACTTTGGTTATGTGGCCCAGTGATTTTCAGTCTCTGATTTTTGGTGAGTAGAGTGAGTCCTGATGTTGAAATACAAATAAAATTGGGTTGTTTTACTTTCTGGGACATTTTTGGCCAACAAAATGAATCATATGATTAAGTACATTGAACAGAACAACTTACTCTATAGCTATTTTCAACATGATAATGTACCAAAACCTTTGGCAGAGTTCATCTAAGAGTATTTATCGGGTAATGGGACCCAAATTCTTTAATTGCCCATCGAAATCTCCCGACTCAAATCCCTTAGAGATGCTGTTCGGCGTTTTGAAGCGCTATGTCGGATCTCACCGTTTTTGAAAACATTGTAGGTGGCGAATAGCTTAAAACCCGATTGGGATTCATTATGAACTACACTACCCAGTAAAAATTGGAGCTTACGTGCAATCAGGTTTGTAAGGGAACGAAGCTATTTTCTCCCTTACAAACCTGCTTCGATAAGGCATGATTTTTATATAGCGAATTCCCACTTGGAAGCATTACTTTTTAAAAAATGAAGCGTGTTTTCACTCATTACATTCAGCTGTGAGTAACAGCTATAAGTAAGTACTTATTTCATGTTTCTATGGCATTACTTCTTTCATTGTTTACAAAAAGCTCTTCCCTAATGCTTTTCCAGAAGACGTGAATTCATAGCTGATGTAAAGCTATTACAGTATTGCTTATATGAAACCCTTTCTTCATGGGATTCTACACTCAATGGTATTTCTGAATGTATACTATTTAAAATATGTAAAATGGCTGATATGCTTGCCGCAGCATATGTCCCATTTTTATCATCAGCTATTACATCTACTTCTGAATTCTCAAAATTAAAAACAATTTCGATATTTGGAATTTCTTCGGGACTATTTTCTGTTGCCTTCAAGAGATTAAATAAATTTTTATTTACCTCTTTTATTTTTAATTTCTTAAATTTATTATTTAACAACAACAGAACTAACTATTTCAAAAAGAAAAAACAAAACTCCGTTAACTTTTCTACAAATCAAAACATAAACACAAAACAACACAAACTGTACATGGACAAAAGCAGAAGTATTAAAAAACAGAAACAAAAAAAAGCAAATAATTGAAAATATTTCGTTCAAAAAATTATTTAAATTCTGTTCATACACTATAATAAACACACACTTCAATAAATTTAAAAAAAAAAGATATTTCTTACATTGAAAATGTATTAATTAATTAAAATCACTTTATAGATTTATATTTATAATAAAAATCTTTTTATATTTTCTAAGAATATTTTTTACACTTTTATTCACGTCTTATCTAAACAAATGCAACTCGATGACTAAACATTTTATATTATGTAATTTAAAATGTGTTTTTTTTTTTTTGTCGGAAAATACTCGGTAAAACTGCCGATTTCAATAGTCTTTGCAATACAACCTGCTTCCTTGTAAGGAACAAGAGTAAGCTTAAATATTATTTAAATACTTCACTTACAACCTGCTTCTCTGTAAAGGATAGTAGTAAGCTTTTAATTTTTTTCAGCATACATTGTAGAATTACTCCTATCATTGGTATTTCCTTATTTCCTGCTCTCAGTGAGGCTTAATAGTAAGCGAATACAGATGCAGTTAGTTCCCTATTTAGCTTCCTAAAATCTAAAATTTTTTTACTGGGTAGTAACTAATCTATTCCATAAAGGTGTTCGGCACACAAAAGTTTTCATAAGAAGATCAAAAAGTTGCTTAAGTTTCGAACATCTGTTTATGGAGTTAATTCAGTTATTATTTCCTTGTAACTCACAGCGATATGGAATTAAACTTTTGTTATTATTATAATGTAGACACATAATATTATACAGATCAATTGTATAATTTTGAATAAATTAATCAAAATAGAAAATATAGTACTTTGTATACAATGCCAAAAAAAGTTGCTTAGGTTTCAAACAATACTGTATACAAAGAAAAATATCTAGTTTTTTTAAAACAATTTTTCATTAATAAAAAATTATTTTAAAAAATTAATAATTGTTTTTTATAACAAAAAATACAATTATAATAATCGTAATAATATAAAAATAACGCATAAAATTTTTTCATAAATTTTTATAACCATGCGGTAAAAATAATGATGTTGGCGTCGCAGAATCTAAATAAAAATGAAATTTATGATATTCTTCTTCTTCAATGATTGCTGGAATAAATTACTAACACATAAACTAGTTTTGACCAGATCTTGACGTGTGGCCATACAGATTTAAGGTTCAGTAAGTTTGAAAGTTCCGTAACGTTTCCGTTCTGTGACGTTCCGTTGACTGTGTTGTGTAGTTAGTTTCTATATAAGAACGTAGCAGCTGTTTTTAAGAATGAGTAAAAAAAGCAACTCTGATTTGTTGTGTCAAAAATCAGAGTTAATTTGGTTTCTTTGTGTTTTAAGCTAGATAAATCAATATTAAAATATAATTAACTATATTATTATATAATTAATATAAAAAGTAAAAATTTTATCGAAACACGATTTTTTTAATTTCTTTCTTGGTCTTTTCTCATTTTCTTATGTCGTTTATGTTGAAAGTAATGTCAACTTTTATATTTTCTTTGACATATTTAAGAGTTTTTTTTTCTCTTAGTTTTTAATTTTAAATTTTTTTCAATAACATTTAGTATGATAATTTTTGTTAATAAATATTTACTAACTTAAGTATATTAATTTTAATGTATAATTTTAAAGTATTTCAATTAATCGAAATAATTAAAATTTTCTGATGTACATTATTTTTAAAATATTTTTTCTTGTTTACATTTTTATGAATTTCATGTCAGCTGTTTATAGCTGTCACTTAACGTTGCGGATTGAATTCTAATTTCTACAGGTTCATCCGTAACGCAACTTCAACGTTACGGTCAAACTAACGACTTACACAGGTTTTCGTAAGCCAAAAACGAATCAGCTGATTCATCACCGAACGGAACGTAGAGACTAACTGAGCCTTTACATTTATTAAATAATTGTGATGATACGTTCTTTTGCTTTATGAAAATATTGGTATTGTCTTGATACGTTATTTTGAATTTTTGTTTTGAAATTTATATTTTTTGCGACAAATCAATTTGACTACATATAATCAATTTTAATTTGTTTTAGTAATTGTAATTAATGTCTGATTACATTTATTTCTCTAATAAATATTTGAAAATTGTATTAAACTAATTTAATTTAAGTCAAAAGTATTTTTTTATTTACTAATGACTAATTTATCATTTTAAGGTGCAATCACCTCATAACGCAAATGGATACTACACTATATATGGTGATGAGACAGATTACAATGATCATTTCAACGCGAAACTTGTAACTGGGTCAACTACTGAAGTTTATGCAAGAACTGGATATTTGGGATTTTTAAGACGAACAGAATGTTCGCAATCTGCGTCTATTTTAGATGAAACTACTCCAAGCATAGCAAGCCGAGATAGTGATAACGATTCACTGAATTCATTAAATCAGTCCCATGCTAATTTGGCATCAAACACAATTCATTTAGGAGAAACACAATCTAATGATCAAGAGCAACATGATGCCGTATACGTAGTGGGGGCTCTTGATGAAGTTATAGCATTACGTGGTATGAATTATCACCCCATTGACGTTGAAAATTCAGTTTTAAGATGTCACAAAAAAATAGCAGAATGGTATTATGATGTTATAATAACTTTTTTAATTATTTATTAATCATCTTTTTATAATTTTAGTGCTGTGTTTACATGGACAAATTTACTGGTAGTTGTTGTAGAACTAGATGGAAATGAATCGGAAGCTCTTGATCTAGTTCCCCTTGTCACAAATACTGTATTAGAAGAACATCAATTAATAGTTGGAGTCGTAGTTGTCGTGGATCCAGGTAATAATTATAATATTGAAATATCGTCATATGAAATCCAAAAAGCCCTAACTTATATTGGACAAATTTTTCAGGAGAAGCAAAAAATCTTCTAAAATGATAAATAAATAAAAAATTATGACCCGAGTTCAGATTATTTCCAATGGATAGTCTAAAATCGCATTTCGATTAAAGTGCACTTAAGATATCATAGTCATTCACTAAAATCAAAGGAACAAACATTTTTTTGGTAGACCAGTAGTGGTTACAATTCTGTCTACTGGCCAAGTTCTATCGATTCTGATTATATATGGACATTTCCACAGAAAAGTCCTCCGTGGCTCAAAAACTAAAAGTCATCAAAAATAAAATTTCAACTTGTATTATTATAGAAAAAGATTTAAATTTTATTGCATTAAAGACCCCAAATCTCATCTTAAAAACTATATTGAGAAATCGAAAGTTACAATAATATTCCAGGTATATTTTTTACTTTCGAAATCGAAAGTTACAATAATATTCCAGGCATATTTTTTACCTTTAGTACCATTTTCTTTTAATAGTTTTTATTGTTTTAAAATCTAACATTTAAATGGACGTTTTGGTACTTAATTTTCTATACTATTGAACCTTGAAACATGAAATTAAGCATATAGAGGCCGGATGTAGTGAGAACCCATACCTTTTGGAACTTTTTCGTTTTTTAAAATGTAATTTTAAGATTTTCTATCATATTGAACATAGACATGAGACTTTCTGGTACTTTTTCATTTTACAACTGGTATTTTTAGATTTTTTGTAATAAAACGTATTGACTATTTTAACACATCATGGCGAAGGGTATATAAGAACTCTTACTTGTTTAAAAATGGGTTTGAAGTCCAAAATTTTGTATTTTGGACTTCAATTGAGTGTTTGTTTTTAGAAGTTTGTCGAGGTATTAGTGGTTGCTATTGTTGTAACAGCTCGATTGTGGCCGATAGTTCTTTTCTGGGGAAAAAACTTTCGGTTGATACACTGTTGCTGGTTTGACAATCTTTGGCCCAGCACGACTCGGGTCGTTCCGGAGCGAAGATCCAATTGTCGTTGGAACGAGGTATTAGTGGTGGTCTTCATCGCCTTGATGAAATACTTGGCGTTATCCCTTGTCGTTTTAAACATATTGCTTTAATAAGATATTTTAATATACATCTTTTTGATTCGAATAAATCTAGGACTGTTAGGGACTTACTCAGATGCCACAATCTTAATTGCCAACACAATGCACTGCCAACCCATTATGATTTTAGGCATAGACTTCTCATAGACTTCTTTATCTTGAGCAATCATCTCGAACCAAAATTCTCAGACCAATTCCAGTCTCCTCATTTATCTAGACACGCTTTTATTTGCTTGTGTTTGGAATTCCTCATCAAGATAATGATGTGGTTATTGAGTTTAGGGACTACAATAAGATTGATTTCGATCTTTTTCATCGTAAAATAATTGAAACTGATTTTAGTTTGATTTATGAGACATCCGACGTGAATTTTCATGTTGAACATTTTAGTTGAGCAATATTAGAAATGTTATCTTATGTCCCTGTAAAACGCAAATCTCTTAAAAATAAAAGTAATTTAATAAATATACAGGGAGTCAAAACAGCTCATTCGTTACTTTTTTCATCTTTCAATTGTTAACTATGTTAGAAGTTTATTCTGCGGTTAATAGTTCTACCCTGAAAGAAGTCAATAAGACTTCTTCAATAGAATTGTTGGACATATATCTACCCATGTTAATGTTTCTTATCCTTTATCCTTTTCTTCGTATGTAAGACTGAGACTGCTTTTAATATTTTATTTATACAGGATATCCACGGGCTTTAAAGAATAACCTTCGATTTTTTTCTCTTAACATTGTTTGAAAAATATTTAACGATGTTGGAAATAGATTACGGGAACCTTCTTTATTATATTTGCTGTTTGGAAATTAGGCTGCAAAATTTTTAAATTTTAATTTCATTTATTTATTTTCATAATATGTAATAAAAGCCTAAGAGGCCAAAATAAAAATATTACATAGCAGTAACAATAATATCAGTGATTTGAAAAGAGTCTTAAAAGTTTCAGTCGAAAAACATTATTTGAATGCGAAAATATTTTTAAATCAAAAGGGAAGTGATTCCACCAACGTGCAACCCTTATAAGAAACGATTTAAAAAAAAATCGAAGATATTCTCGGTATATAAAGCTGCGGGTTTCTTATAGATCGCAAAAATATAAAGGAACTATATAAAGGCAACGGTCTACATACCTTAATTACTTTGTAAAACAAGACTAAATTTCGATGCATAACAAGTTCATTAAAAGTGCAGACAAGAAAGCGAATACAATATTGAGAGATATGGTCACGACGTTGAACATTATAAATAAAACGTACCACCATATTAATCATACGATTAACTTTTCTCAAATGCATAGAACACGTACCAGTAAAAACTTCAAAACCGTAAAAAATATCTGACATTAACAAAGCCCATGATAATCGAATTCTAACTCGATATGGCAAGTACATATTCAACGAATAAATCCGGCGAAAAATTCCAAAAAGTCTAGAACTTAACATATCAATATGATTAGAAAAGGAAAGTTTTGAATCCAAAATGACACCTAAGCATTTAAGTTGATCTACAAAATCAATACGTACACCACCTAAATACATACTAATGTCAACAAAAAAAACGATTAGTAGGACCAAACATAATGGCTTTGGTTTTGGAAGAATTTATATTAAATGAGTTAAGTGAGGTCCACTCAAGGACCCGTTCTAAGCTAAAGTTAATGTTATTCACCAAAACGTCTTCAAAATCCAAAGAGCATTTAAAAACCAAAAAAAAAAAAAGGAAAAAAAAAACATCATCAGCAAATAAAAAAGTATCACAAATTGAAGAGTTAACAAAATAGGGTAGACTGTTTATATATAACATGAATAAAAGAGGTCCTAAAACAGATCCGAACTAACCCCATTTAAAACTACAAATTGTGATCTGTTAGACAAATATGAAAATATAAGCTTACAAGCAGAACCAGAAAAATTAAATTCATCCCTTAGCTTACATATCAAACTGTAATGGCTTATAGAATCAAACGCCTTCGAAAGATCAAGAGAAATAAGAACACTATAGTTGTTGTAAAGAAAGTATGTGATCTTTCATGATCTGTTCAACAATCTTCGATAAAACAGGAAGAATTGAGATAGGACGAAGATCACCAGGACCATGAACAACTCTAGACTTTGGAATAGGAACAACTCTAGCTATCTTCCAGTATGAGGGAAATTTAGAAGTAGTCAATATATTATTAATTAGAAAAAGTAAGTGTTCTGATATTAAAGGAAAAGAAAAGGAGTTAATCAAATCATCAAATTCAACGATATCGTGAGAAGTAGTTGAATTTACAGATACAAAAAAATCATTTAATTGATTAGCATCTCCCTCATATGTGCTTAAATTATCACCAATACAACCAGACCCTCTTAAAACTCTCCATAAACCTGCTGAAAATGAAGAGAATGGAAAAATGTTTCCTTTTAGCCTTTCGAATTACACTTTTAGCCCTTTTAGTCAACAAGACGTTTTCCAATTCAAAACAGAACGATTAGATAAATACGCACGATAAGACAAATCACGAAGAGAAAGAGCAAGCCTAATATTACTGGAATTCATTCAATCAACATCATCATACCTAATTCTCTTTCTAACAATAGGAACACAAGAAAAGAGCAAATTAGTGAGATTAGATATAGAGGAACATTGGTAGTCGACATCGCCAGAATAGAATTGTGAGAAATCGAAATTAGACAACCGCAAATGTAATTCATCCCAATTAATAAGGTTAAAGTCGCGATATTCATAATACTCATTAACACGTTCAGCCCTGATACAAAAAGAACAAAATATTAATACATGATGAGAAATTGATGGGCATAGCATTTGTTCAGAGAGGTTATACAGAAGAAATATCACTTACTAACCAAAAGTCAATTAACGAAGTGGAACCGTGCGCAATATCAAAGTGCGAGGGTCGAGAATTATGAACTAGTGACAAATTACATTACGATCATTCCTGCAAAACCTAAATGCAGGAATCTCAACAGACTGACTAGAAATATCCGGCTTAAGCCAGGTTTCAGTAACCGCAAACACATCCAAAAAATAATGATTTACAAACGATCTCAATTCATCAATTTTTGAGTAATTACTTGTAGGTTTAATGCTCTGGCAATTAAGATGAGCAATATTAAAATTTTGGTTATGATTATGCAATACACTTCTCATATAATCATTACTACTGAATGAAGGACCACTACTTAGATCAAGAGCCATTTGATTCAAGTGAAAAAATAATAGATATTAACAAAAAACATTATAATTACACAAAAAGAAAATTAAATTACTAATTGTATACAGCTAATCATTAGTTATATGTATGTATATGAGATCAAAAAAATAGGTAAACTAGTAAAAAAGAAGTAAGAGTGCTATATTCGGCTGTGCTGAATCTTATATACCCTTCACCATAGTGTATTTAAAAATTCATTTTCAAGACTATATCATTATTATAGCAATAGCAAAACATAATGAACAACAACAACGCTAAAAACCAACAGACATCCAAACATACGAAACGAAATACAGAAAAAAACAAAAACAAAATACACAACGCAATGAAACCTACAGACATCCAAACATACGAAATTCAATACACCAAGAAAACAAAAACAATATACACAAGGCAATGAAACACACAGCCATCCAAACATACGAAACGAAATACTCAAAAAAAAACAAAATACAAAGGCAATGAATAAGCAGTGTTGTTGTTGTTTATTTTTTATGAAATTTTCAGAGGTTGTCTCGGATTTTTGCTTATATCTCCGTTGTTTATGAACGGATTTTGCTGATTTTAAATAGGAAACTTCTCGAAAGCATGTCTGATAGAATTATTGAAGATTTGAATCCCGAAGATATCTGGGGTCTTCAG